TTAGTTATAAACTATAATCCTTCCATTGTTAGTTTTAACTTATATCTTGTATGGGTTTTATGTCTAGCAGGTGTCTTAACATGGCCTCGTTACTACTCTACCGAGGTTAGGCTTGATACTTAGTGGGTAGCGTTGGGGTGTACTCATGCTATGCTTCTACACATTTTTGTGCAGATCCAGGTACTTCTGATCGATTTGGTCTTGAGACTTATGTCTGCGCGGTTGGAGACTTCAAGGTATATCTGCTCGATGTTCGCAGGCCCGAAGTCACCTTCTATTTTTTTTTATTTCCACTGTTCACTATTATTCCGGGACAATGACGTACTTGTTATTTCTAGTTACTCTTAAAAAAGCTTATGACTTATACTACCAGTTTTGGAATTGTATGACGGATGTGGGTTTGACCATTGTTTGAGTTACTAATTAATGTATTGCAGTTATATTAGTTAAATTCCATCAATTTTCAGCATGTGCTAGCCTTACCTAGTCCTAGTGACTAGGTGCCATCACGACAAACTACGATAGGATTTTGGGGTCGTGACAGATGCTATTTCGGTCATTATGGATAATTGAGGGTATTTCATTTTGGTGTGACTTCTTACATTTTGAGAGTTCAAATTTGACGAGAAGGGTTTGTCTTGAGCTAGTAAGGGATTGTGAATGCTTCATTATCATCTTTGTGTGCAATAATATCTTGAGTTAGGATGTGTTGATGGGTCTTCTTGTTGTTCATTGGTGGAATGAAACAGATTTTTGCAGCTTGTGGGCGAGTGTTAACTCAAGAGGATTAATTGATTACATGGCGATTATGCTCATAGCAGGTCATAGAAAAATGTTGATATGAGATTATATAGGTGGGCTATCTTCTGTGAGGAGGTTGGAGGTTGCATGATTTCCTATGAGGTTCCTATGAAGAGTTTTGCCTTCTATCTAGTGAGATGTTATGCTATGATATGAGTGAGGTTGCTTGAGGGATATGACACGATTGTCACGAGGTGAGTATGCATTTGGGCTGATAATTTAGAATGTGTTATGGTTAGTGCAACATGAGCTTACGAGAAATTCAACTGAGTAATATTATGGAGGAGCAGTTATTATAGGTTCTTGGTTTATGTGATTGTGTTTTAAAGAAAAGTGGGGGAGTGTCACGACCCAAACCCTGCACTGGTCGTAATGGCACCTCCCGTGAAGGCAAGGCCAGCCAACTAACCCAACTCTTCTTTTCAAAAATAATTTAAACATGAATAAACAGCTAAAATATGACTTAATAATATTAATTAGCGGGATTACAACCCCACACAGCCCTAATCAGGAACAAGTCACGAGCATCTATCAGAATGTAAATCCACTACAAGGTCTAAAATATACAAAACCAGAATAATGATCAAAAGAGAGAAACACGGTGCTGCGAACGCTGGCAGTCACCTCTTTAACTCATATAACTCTGCCTCTGATCGGCCAAAATCCGCTACCGGGTGAATAGATACCTGCATCTGCACACGAGGTGCAGGGAGTAAAGTGAGTACTCCAACTCAGTGAGTAATAAAGGTAAATAACAACAGAGCAGTAAGAAATCACGTAAAGCAAACCATCATGCTGTATAGAAGCAGAGTACAATCCTTTGAGAAAACAGTGAAACTGTGAAATCTTTGGAAATATCTTGGCTCAGTTTAAATATCTTTTGAAAATGATCTTTTCAACAGTTACGAAATGATTTCAAAACAGTTAGTGCCGATAAGCACAGAAAATCCGCCCCTCTGGCACAAATACCACAGTATAACAGGTAAAAAGGCAAGTAAATATGCAAGATGAGCACATAAAAGTTCGCCCCTCGGGCAATATCTCAAAACAATACCAGCCCCTCGGGCTCAGTATCAGTCACTCAGCATAGCATCAGCCCTCGGGCTCACTCTCAGATCATATGGGTACCCGCGCTCACTGTGGGTGTGCAGACTCCGGAGGGGCCCCTTATGGCCCAAGCGCTATATCAACATAAGGCCTGAAAGCCTTCTCACATCACACATAAGGCCTGAAAGTCTCCTCACATCACACTCGAGGCCTGAAAGCCTCCTCACATCACACTCAAGGCCTGAAAGCCTTCTCACATAACACTCGAGGCCTGAAAGCCTCCTCACATCACACTTAAGGCCTGAAAGCCTTCTCAGTCCAGGAAACATCATAAGCCCCTCGGGCATCATTAAAATAATAGTGCTCAGCCCAAACAACAGTGGAAATATCATTAACGTCTCGAAATTCAATTAAAGCGGCTGAGTTTGTAAAACAGTATAATCATAAGGATTGAGTTCAAGTCTTATATCAAAATAGTGAAGAAACAGTGATAACAATCCCCGAAGGATTCAAGTAGTCGGCATTAAGCCCAAAATATGGCAATAAGCCCAAATCTTGATGATAAATAGAACAGCTCAGTCAAATACGCGGTAAAATATCAAACGGGACGAACCAAGTCACGATCCCCAGTAGTAAACAACCCCGCGCTCGCCATTAAGCGCGTGTTTCACCTCAATATAGTACTACGTTGTGCAAATCCAGGGTTTCAAACCCTCAGGATATCATTTACAATCATTACTCACCTCGAACCGGTAAAATCCCTAGCTCGCGACGCCCTTGCCCTGCAAACGGCCTCCACGCGCGTCGAATCTATCCAAAACCAGAATGAATACGTCACAATATGCCAATGGAAAAATACCCAATCGAAAACAATCGAAAAACATTAAAAATCTCGAAATTAGCAAAACCCGAGCCCCGGACCCACTTCTCAAATCTCAGAAATTTTCACATTAATAGATTCCTTATCTTCTCACTAGTTCATACATACCAAGAACTCTCAAATCCGAGCTCAAATGACCCATCAAATTCCAATTTGACATATCAAAAACTCAAGCCCTAGTTCTTCAATTTTAGGCTTAATTTCCATAAATTTCAAGGTTAATCTCACATAATAATTGTGTTTTAAGATCATAGAACTCACCTCCAATCAATCCCAGTCGAAATCTCCTTCAATTCCCGTCCAAAAGCTCTCAAGGATGTTCAAAAATAGAGGAAAAATAGCTTAGCTCGCGGAACAAAATGAACTTTTAAAACCCTTCTGCCCAGACATTTTTCGCATCTGCGGTCCGCTTTTCGCTTCTGCGACTTCCGCTTCTGCGGGAATCTTCCGCTTTTGCGGAGCTTCACTAATTGCCCAGGACCGCTTCTGCTGTCTAAATCCGCTTCTGCGGACTCCGCTTCTGCGGGCCTCTATCCGCTCCTGCGGAAACCAGCCTCCCTAGGACCTCTCGCACCTGCGACCCCATTTTTGCATCTGCGGAACCGCATTTGCTGCCCCTTTTCCGCAGATGCGGAAATACCAGAACCAGCAAATCTCTGAAACAACACAAGTCCAAAATTCATCCCGATAGCCATCCGAAATCACCCCGAGGCCCCCGGGACCTCAACCAAAAGTGCCAACCCATCCTAAAACATCATTCAAACTTGCCCAATCATCAAAACACCTCAACCAACACCAAAATCATCAATTTACATCGGATTCAAGCCTAAGTTCTTTTAAAACTCCCGAAACTCGCATTTTATCAAAAACCCAACCAAACGACGTCCGAATGACCTGAAATTTTACACACACATCCCAAATAACTTAACAAAGCTACATCAACTCTCGGAATTCCATTCCGACCCTCGGGTCAAAATCTCACCTATCAACCGGAATTCACCAAAATACTAACTTTGCCAATTCAAGCCTAATTCTACACCGGACCTCCAAAATCACTTCCGATCACACTCCTAAGTCATAAATCACCCAACGAAGCTAACCAAATCATAAAAACTCCGATCCGAGCTCATATACAAATAAGTCAACTCTTGGTCAAACCTTTCAAATTCCAAGCTTTCAACTGAGACTGTTCTTTCAAATTCATTCCGATTTTTCCTGAAAAACCAAAACCAACGGTCTACATCAGTCATAATACATAACACGGGGTAAGTCATGCCCGAGAACTGGCGATCAAAGTGCAAAAGCTCAAAATGACCGATCGGGTCGTTACAGAGAGTTTATTGGGTCAGCTAATCATGTGTTGTTAAAGATTCTGTACTAAGGTATTCCTGTGGGTTAGATATGATTTAAGGAGGATGAGACAAAAACAAAAATTTGAAGTGCCTAAGCGCCCTACATTAAGAGAATCGCACAATTTGGCGAATCAGGAGCACTCCCGAGTAGTTTCGGATAGGTAGAGTCAAACAACTAATAAAGCTATCGGAATTAGATAGGAAGAAAACATACGCAAATAAGTGTTTTAAAAGGCATTTTTGGGCGAGCCCCGGGGCGAAACACACTAAAAATGCTCTGAGGTGATAGTGGGGTGCGAAAGTCTAAAAAGATGTATGTCTAGCATTTTGGGTATTGAGGTGCATTTTTGTAGTGAGGCGTAAGCCCAATAGACTTCTTCAAATTAATAAAATTTACTAATTAATATCTTAATATAATACGCAAATTCTCAAAAGCTAGCTTGTAATTATTTAAAAGTTTAAAAAGGAACCGAAACATTAAATTCAAAATCAAAACCTTTTTTTTTTTGTTGCAATAAGCCCTAATTTATGGTCTTTCCCAATTCTTTCTGCTGTCTGCTAGTCTGCTATATCTCCCAACACAACGAGCAATCAATTTTTTTTGCAAATACACAGGAAACCTCAATTCTCCTCCATAGCAGCAAGTTTAAAATTCAAATTTCAAATTAGTCATTATTTTTGTTCCTCCACATAGAAAACTTTATTATTTTCAACTCAAGTTACTGTTAGTTCCTCCATAGCTTGATTAATTTTTTTGTGTATATTTTTTGAACTTATTTGTAGTTTTCTTTTATTTTTTTATGCAGTTTTACCTATTGAAAAATATGTACTGTAATTATATTATTTTATACATAATTCATTTCTAATACAAACAATTTATTACTAATAGACCCAACTAATTAACAGGTGCAACACACGTATTCTAAAATTAGTATATATATAAATGTGGTTCGAAATAGCAAAGAAACTACACAAGCGACTACTTCTAAACTACACAAGAAGACAACTTACACTTTGAGAACTGATTCACCACAAATAGACACCTATACTGTAGATCAACTATCAACCACGACAACGGATATATGTAGAACAACAACTTATTTAAGAACAATAGACGCAGAGAAGAAAAGTGTTTTTTTCTTTTCACTCTGAACTTGAAATAAAAGTATATACAAAGGAGTTTTTTTTTTCTGTATTGTTTTAGAAACAACTCCTGGGAATGACTGTGCCACCACGTCTTCCACTTGCATTTCTACAGTAGGATATTGCAGGCCTTCTTAAGCGATCATTGTGAGTAAGCTTTATGTCTTGCAGTCTGATTCCAGTGCATGGATTTGTGTAACTGCAATCAAATTTCATGGCTGCCTGTGTGGATGATGTCCCTTTCACATTCTTGTATGTTACTTGACTCACCTTTACTCCTGAATTCTTCATTTAATAAACAGTAACTCTAATTCAGATAGATAATTAAGTTTATTTGCAAATGAATATTAGTTATTCTTTCATGTGCGTTATAATTGGAAAAATTAAAAAATACCGCTATCTATTAATTTTTACGTTTGTTGTGCTTGTGTTTTTACGCATGCAGATTAATCTTTTCATTGCTTAAAAAAGTTGTAGAGGAAATGAGTTGCAATTTGTTGGAGATGAGTTAATGATATATAGATACCTGATGAGGGCAATTATTATCGGGACAATAGTTTTGGTCAATGATTATGGGGTACCCAACATTCTTCATAATAAGATTTGAGAACATGAGATTTTTAGCATAGCCACCACTTGGTCTTGCCCAGGACTTTACTCTAACGCCATTCTGTGTCTTCGTGAAAACCGAATTTGTTACTGTTATATTCGTAACTCCAGCTTCCTTGTAACTACTCCCCAAACTTCCTATGCTGCAAATGTGAAACAAACAATCAACATGATATATTTCGCATAAACAAATTCTAGAATTAGACTATCACAAACACGTCATATTTGAGCCAGAAATCGTATTAGTCGGACTACAAAATAATTGAAATATTAGAATATGTTGTAAATTTAATATCAATAAACAAATGTATCTTCTCCTAAAAACTTAAAATTTTACATGACATGATCGCATAATTTATAATGATATCAGTACAAAAACAGATTCATCATCACGTGCTTGTCCAATAAAAAATTCAGGCCAAAAAAAAAAAATGTGTGTAAGCTTAATTAAATGTAGGGAAATAATTCGATTATATCTCGCTAACGTTTGTTACTTATCTTATATAAGTATTTCCTTTAACTTTCGGCTCATATACCAATATCTCTCGTGTCAAATATGCTTCTTCCAATGACAGTTTTTTACCGTAGAAAATTAGTCAAGCCACATAGGTGGTGTACTTGGACATTTTTAATTGTTCAGGGACTTGCTTCAAATTATTGCAGAGAATATAAATATACCAAATTATAAGTTTATGGGAAAATTTGGATCTTTTGTTTGTCTACGTGGCTCCACCGTCGCAAATGTCATAGTCAAATTCGACGGCCGTCAGAGGGAGGGTCAAATATGGGACAAAATTAACGGTGTAGGGTTTTCAAGGATCAAAAGATGAACAGACAGCAAATGTAAGATAAATCAAATGCTTAAAGAGTAAATTTGAATATTTTTTATCAAATAAATTAATAAATAGATGTGTCTCCGATTTACCAATTTAATGTTTTAAGAGATTTAAATTTCCTTTATGAGTTACATCTAAGTTCGGAAGGTAATGACTCGTGTAGACCAAATCTAACTTGCACCATAAGTTAGATAGACTTACTCTTATTTTTTTCTTCCTTATATATACTACTTAAATGGATTAACAATGAATAAAAAAACGTTTGTGAAAGTAATGATTTACCTGATGCCATGTCCAGGTCCACATCCAATTTTTTCAATCCACAAGTTCATGGAACCAGGACCAACAGAAATGCAGTCATCTCCAGTCTGGATGATGCTGCCGTAAATGGTAACCCCTCTTGAGTTTTGTACATGAATGCCATCAGTATTTGGGCTTCCACTTGGTGCTATTATCTTCACATTCTCAACTCTCACATTGCTGCTGTAATTAATCCCTACATGTACTCTTTGACTGTGGAGTGATGTTAAGCCCCTCAACAGTACATTGTTACACCACATAAATTGAATTGACTGCAAATACATAGACATTTTACATCATCAGTGTTAGAGATTCTTTAGACAGGTAATCTCTTTTTTGTAGAAAAATAATAGTACTATGATTCCCTTGTCACGATGTTAATTTTGTCCTCGTTTTATCGTGTAATTCCCTTGTCACGATTTTAATTTTGTCCTTGTTTTATCGTGTACTTATTAGTTATTATTATGGTAAACCTTGAGTATTTATTGTGTTGTGATATAGACAGTCCAAAAGTCCAGATGAAACTAAATCTTCTATGGAATTTGATGCTTAAAGAAATGAAGGTGAGACATAATTCACTTCATGGAGAAGAAGCTTCGACAAATGTTGAAATATCTGAGATTTTTTTCCTACTGGATAGATACATTTAAGATTAAAAAAAAAAGTAAGAAGTGACAGATATAAATTGGAATAAAGAAAGTATACGTACCCTAGCTCCTTGTGGGCAAGACTTTCCACCCTTTCGGCACGACCAATAACCATGACCCTTGGCGTTCATAGTTCCTCCATACACTGAAAGCCCACTTACCTTATAAAACATAATCCAGAACTCAGAATGACCAATTGCGTGATAATTGGCTGGAGCAATGAGAGTACCGTCAATTCGGAACTCAATTCTTCTCCGGCAAGGGCCGTTTAAATTCAACGTTCTTACCAAATATGTTCCTCGTGGAATGTACACGTTCGCCTGGCTAGTAGAGTGGCAGGCAGCAGACCAAGCGCGAAGAAATGCGGAAGTTGAGTCTGTCCTCCCATCTCCCCTAGCCCCAAAACTAACCACATTGTAGGCTAAACAAGAAGGTATTAAACAAAAGAAGAGCAACAAAGAAACACCGGTACATGTCATGGTTTTGAAGTTGGCCATGTTGATTGGCTTTTAGAGGTCGTTACAAAGAAAATAAAGATTGTGCATTTGTCTATTTATAGTTATTCATATGGTGTCCATATAATAATTTCTTTTTTGTCCACATGACAATAAATAATTTGGTTTTGCGCTAGCTCGGATGCAGATTTAGAAATTGACTTAAATGCTACGGACATGGACGATGAATGAATTCCAGGGATGTACATGTGCTCGTTATATTAAAAAGACGAAAAAAAGGACAAAAGAGAAGCGGAAGGATCATGGGATTTAAAAGAATTATAAGATCCACAAAGAACGCAGAAAATGCATCAGTTGAGTACAACATCAACATGTGAGTTGCCAGTTATAAAATTTTAATTTTATCGGCATTGTTAGCTAGCAAGATCTATTAATAACTAGAATGTAGAAAGTTACAAATGAATAGAAGGTTTAGAAGTTTTAAGATGAATCCAAACCTTGTTTAAAGGGTAATTAGGTAATATTCGTTTATATTGACTTTAGAAACTTGTCTCTGAATTTCCGCAATAATTTAAGGAAAGATGAAATGTGTAATCCACACGTCATGGCCCACATCATCTCCATGTTATGATATGTACGGTAACCATGTGATAAGTTCGCTCGCATTTTGTCTACACATCTTGTTTGCTTCTTGCAACTTATCAAGTTGATTGGGCTTTATTTGAACTCGGTTATACTGTAATAAAACGGGTCAGACTTTGGTCGTGTTCAGCTCGAGCAGGATCGGACTAAGCTCGGGCTTGCTCGAGCTACAACTCGTTACCACATTTGATACTATAGCAAGTTCAATTGAGTTCAGTTGGACTCGATATTGCAATCTCCCTGAGGCCCGGTTCTTGCTGGGCTGCGGCTAGGGGCGGACCCACGTAGGGTCAAGAGGGTTCAAATGAATCTGCCTCGTCGAACTTTTTTTGATATTTTATATAGGTTAATTTCAAAAAAATGAATATATTATGTTATTTGAACCCGCTTGATAAAAGTTGATCTTGTGGTAAGATGGTTCAGCAGGTTCAAAATCAAATGAAGGGTTCCAAACCGAGCAACAACTTTTTGCATAGTTGTGTTCTAAGTCACACTTTGCATTACAAGTGTACGTGGGCCTAATAAATAGGGGAGCTAGCATATTTTGTTAATTCTTTTTTTCAAAATGAAGAGCTAGCTAGTTTATTCCTTTAGTGTTTTTTTTTTAATCTCTATCTTCTAATTTATTTCTATATTGATCTTATATTTGATCTCCTACTCAATCCAATAAGAATTAATCTACAGTCTATTTAACTTCATAAGATCAAAAAGATTTACAAAGTAAATCTTGCATTATTTTTGATAAAACATGCAAATACAAAGCTTGATATTATTTTTAATTTGTTACTTATATTAAACTAGGTTATCCTAAATTGTTTATTTATGTTACATAGATTGTTAGTTCACTTTATAAGTCATCTTCCCGTATAGTTTCTAGCAGTTTATTTTCAGTTATAACTCATTTTTGGTGTCCTATTAGCTTTGTAAATTAACAACTTCGTTATTTGTTAAATTTATTAGAGTTTAAAAAAACTCTAAATTGTGTAAATAGAATTTTTTTTAAAGTTTAAATGAAAATGTAAAATTAGATATATAAATTGTCAACATTTTTAGTTAAAGCAATTATTTTTTGTTAAAAGTTTTTATGTTTCGCACTACTTTTTTGAAAAAATAAAAAAGAATTCCGAACTCATATTTTTTAAAATATTCATTTTAAGGTAGCATTATGAACCCAAAGAAGAAGCGCGGGACAAATCCCGCTTGTCCATATAACCCCTACCATCAGTTAAGGTTGTTGTTGAACCCGCTTGTATAAAATTCTGGGTCCGCCACTGGCTGCGGCTCAATGCCTACCCCTATTGTATACGGGTAAAAACGGGCCTAGGAGACGCCTCGGTTTTTGATAAGGTAAATCGAGCAAGAGACATGATGACAAGGAGCTGAAATCGAGGCAAGGGTCTCATCGATACAGAGTCTGGGGGCTCGACACCCATCCTCGAGAATATCGGGGCCATGACCCCAGGTTTGGTCCAAATCCCAAAAGACTTCAGAGAGCATTATCGGGCAGCCGAACACGATTAACAGAAGGCCGTGATATCCGTGACCAGCCGGGTATTACAGCGTGGATCTCGGAACGTACCGGCGAAAATCCGATGATTAGTTAAACGGATGATTTTTACCTATTATGGAATTGTATCTAGAGTAAGACTCCCCTACTATATAAAGGGGGTCTGATTATAATTAACAATATTGTAACACGCATACCAAGGCAATACACTATTACTTGCCGTCATTTCCATGCTCTTACATTAGTTGATCAGTGTTTCATTATTATAAGCCTTGGATCGAAGATGGATACCTTGTTGAGACTACCGTCGAGTCTGAAATCACCCCTCCCCCGTTTATTTTCAAGCGGTTTGACAATTCTTCACATCTTTTATCTTTTTAATCTAGCAATATTTACCGTTTGTATTGAGTTAGTCCACGTATCCTTAAAACTACTTACAAATTTAATTGTTATCCGTTTTTTAGGGTAACTAGTTTGGCGCCCACCATGGGGCTAAGGATAATAGTGGAAGTTTGGTACAAATTTTCATAACACACCCTATTTTACACTTGTTCTTTTAAGTGTCTTTTATTTCAGGTCAAAGTTTAAAATGTCGAACTCCCAATCTGTCCTTGAACGTGGATGCTGAATCTGGCCACCACGGTGAGAACAACAATATGGTACCTAGTGATGAGGTTCACCCTGATGACCCCAATGGGGTCCCGGTCGTAGATCTAATCGATGTTAACTCCCAAGTGGCCATCGATGCTAACTTGCCCACCGACCCGGAAAACAGCATTTGCAGGGAAGCCATGTCGGTAACCAAGGATACGCATGGCGATGGAGGCAATGAGATCAACTAGCGATAACCCCGTTGCAAAACCAAAGCCACGCTCCTAGTAGAATTAAGCCCGACCGTCCCGGGAAAACACTCGCAGAAATAAACCAGTCACAGAAAGGCCGAGTGAAGCTAAACAAGGGACCAACCCCGAGATCATAAAGATGCTTGAGGAACTAAAACGGATGGAATCGGGAGAAAAGAAAATCGAAGCCAATGAAAAAAAAGTAGAAACCTACAATTCCAGGGTCGACCAAATCCCAGGAGCACCACCGATACTGAAAGGCCTGGATTCCAAGAAGTTTGTTCCGAAACATTTTCCTCCGAGCGCATATCTAAAACGAATCCCAAAGAAATTACGCTTGCCCTAAATTCCTAAGTATAACAGAACGACTGACCCAAATGAACATGTGACCTCCTACACGTGCGCCATCAAGGGGAACGACTTGGAAGATGATGAGATCGAGTCCATCCTGCTGAAAAAGTTCGGAGAAACCTTGTCAAAAGGAGCTATGATATGGTATCACAACTTACCCCCCAATTCTATTGACTCGTTTGCTATGCTTGCAGATGCCTTTGTAAAAGCGCACGCCGGAGCCATCAAGGTCGAGAACAGGAAGTCGGACCTTTTCAAGGTAAAGCAAAGAGATAACGAGATGCTCGGGGAGTTCGTGTGAAGGTTTCAAATGGAAAAGATGGACCTGCATCGGTCGTAGATGATTGGACCCTTCAGGCCTTCACCCAAGGACTCAATACTCGAAGCTCGTTGGCTTCAAAGCATTTGAAGCAAAATCTAATAGAATATCTGGTTGTAACTTAGGCAGACGTCCATAACCGGTACCAATAAAAAATCAGGATCGAAGATGATCAGCTTGGGACCCCTTCCGGGTCTATTTTTATCTTGTCAGAACTAGTGACCGATCCAAAAGAGACATTGATCGTGAACCAAGATCAAATAGAGACTGGTATCAACCATACAATGGAGGCCGAAGAGGCAATGGGCCCGGACGCAACCCAGTGAGGACTGAGAGAAGGAGTGACCAGGGTCATAATAATCGGGGGCTCATGATCAAGAGCGGTTTTGAGAGACCCATCGGGCCTAAGGAAGCACCGACATTATCAGAGTACAACTTCAACGTCGATGCTACCGCCATTGTATCTGCCATCGGACGCATCAAAGACACCAAGTGGCCTCGACCTTTACAGTTCAATCCTGCCCAAAGGGGCCCCAACCTAATTTCTAAATATCATGGCACTCACGACCACAGAACCGAAGACTTCCGACAACTGAGAGAGGAAGTAGCCCTGTTATTCAACAACGGACACCTCCGAGAGTTCCTAAGAGATCGAGCTAAAAATCATTTCGGGAATAGGGACTCCAATAAGCAGATAGAGCAGGAGGAACCTCGGCACGTCATTAACATGTTCATCGATGGAGTCCACGTCCCCTGGGGCCGATGCTAAAGTGCATCAAAGTGTCTATCACAAGGGATAAACGGATTCGAGATTACGTGCCATAGGGGACTGTACTTCAACGACGAAGACGCTGAGGGCATCGTGAAGCCACATAATGATGCACTGGTAATATCTTTATGATGATAGGCTATAATTACGTGTTTTAGTCGCTTATTACATTCCAATTCACTGCACTTCTATTGCGTTTGCGCTTTAATCGCTAGTGTTTTGCACTAATTGTGTATTTTATGCCTTATAGGAGTGATACCGAGCTATTTCGATGTTATGGAATGAACTCAAGTGATTTGGAGCTTTGAAGTTTGAGTAAAAGCCCAAGGAATTAAGCCGGGATCATATTCGGGGATCAACGGATGATAGAGCAACGAAACGAAGAATCGAGTAGGCATATTATGCACTGTCAATGCACATAACATTTCGCTCAGAACTCCATTTAGACTCCACAATATACGGTTGAAAAGCTCATTCAAAGGGCTACAACTTTTATATTTTACGTTTTTCCAAATTCCAAACAGAACAGGATAAAAAATGCGCGACAAGTGCTCCGCGGTCAGATCCGCGGCCGCGGACAGAACAGGGCCAAAATCCGTGGTCAGGTCCGCGGTCCAATCCACGGCCGCGGATGTCCTGTCCGGGAAAAGTGTCCTTTTTCGCATAG